AGATTCTCTCTCTCTCTCTCTCTCTCTCTCTCTCTCTCTCTCACACACACACACACACACACAGAGCTCACAGGGACATCTCTCTCTCTCTGGTTTTGGTTAGAGCTACGTGGTCCCTTCACTATGGATGGCCATCTTGGCACAAGGTGGCAATTACGGTTTGCAAGGAGAAACTGGATGTGTGCAAAGTGATGGGCTTTTCTAGAAACCCAAGGCAGAAGGTTTTGTGTTTTCTGAGGTCAAGAACAAGGGGTTGAGAGATCCTAAAAGGAGGCCAGGGGTGTGTGTGATCGATGGTTAGAAATGAGAGCCAGTGGTAGATGCTCTCATCCCTGTAATGCTAGCTAGGCAGGCAGCTGAGATCTGAGGGTCAAGGTTTAAAGCCAGTTGAGGCAGGAAAGCCCAAGAGATTCTCTCTCTCTCTCTCTCTCTCTCTCTCTCTCTCTCTCTCTCTCTCTCTCACACACACACACACACACACACTCACACACACACAATGGTTACAATGGTTAATGCTTAGAGGTGTGCTTAGCAAAAGACCCTGGCTTCCAACCTAGCATGCACATTTTTAAAAAATCTGAATGAAAAGGGTGTGTATGTGTGTGCTCTACAATAACAAAGCAATTTGAGAAAGGAGCTAGTATTTGTAGAAACTGCTAGAAGGTATCAAACTACTGGCAGCACGGCTTTCCACCCCCCTCCCCTCCGTAACTGTCCTACTTCCTCTTCCCACGGGGCTGCGGCCCCTCGTAGTCAATCCTCTCCCTGCTTTTGCCTGAACAACCGCATAGCTGGTTCGCTGGTTAGCGTGAGGTGCTGCAAAAGCCCCGTGGGCAGATCACCTGTGCCAGGCGATGGTCGATGTTGGGGGGGGGGTGAACAGGGCCCCCTGCAGGGGTGCGGAAACCCCCGGGTTGCTGGGCCTATTCTGCTCACTTCTGCTCCGTTCATTAGCTCACAATAATCCCTTGCGTGAAGCCCATTAGGTAGATGTTCTTTCTGTTTGCAAAAGAATGGCTGGGCTCTCCGGGGGTCCGAGACACTCGGCTGAGCCCTAGACCCACGGAGCGGTAAGTAAGCACAGGTCTGTTGGTTGTTAGGACTCTGTACCTGGGGCTGGGGGTGTGCCCCGCGGCGCGTGCCAGGCCCTGGGTCTAATCCTCGGCACCTATATAATAATAAAGTGAAACAAAAACGTCACCGTAGGGCTGGGATGTAGCTCAGTGGCAAAGCGCTTGCCTAGCAAGTGCAGCGTCCTGGGTTCCATCCCCAGTACCAAAAAAGAAAAGACAAAAAAAAAGTCACAGTAAAACAACAACACTCTGCTTCCCACAGACGCGCCGTTCCATCCGTGCCAGAGGCCTTGTAGAAGTATTTGCATGAAGAACGTAGAACCCAAACTCTCCACCATCCTGGGGCTGTCCGCGAGCCAGCTCGGCTCAGCTTTCCACCCCTGGTTCCTCATCCACAGGGTCACTGAGTGGTTCCCAATTTTCATCTGGAGATTTTAGTGTTGGGAGGCATGGTGAGCGGTTACAGTGGGGGGGGGGGAGACGTGGTCTGAGGAAGGGGCTACTCGGAGTCAGGACACAGCGGAAGCTGGGCCGAGGATACCCGGTGCTGGACAAGCGGGAGCAGAATTTTGGCTCTTGAGATGAAGACTTGGGGAGGTGGGAGACGGGCGGATGCACAGCGTGAGCAACGCACTTGGCACACAGACACATACGTGGAGAGTGGCTAACGGGGTACATTTTGTTATGCGTTACTATGATTTAACAAGTTTGGGGCAACTGTGGGAAGGCCAGACTAGTCCAGAGCCACAGAGTGCTGGAGAGCGGGTGGTGTGGACGGTGCTGTCAGCGCCAGTTTGAGAAGCGAGCAAGCGTTTTGTGGTTGAGAGAGGGATCGCCCAATGATCAACAAGCCAGGAGACAAAGTTTGGGCCTGAAGGAAGCGCGCCGGGGCCGGTGCTCGGGGCCGGGAGAGCCGGGCAGGCCGGGACAGCTGGGCAGCCCGGGCCGGCGGCGCTGGCAGCTGGGGCCTGTGATTACCCATCCAAGGAGGAGAGAAAAGAGACAGGAAGAAAGAAAGTGGCGGGGGAGGGGGGGGAGGACGGGGGAGGAGGGGCGCAGAGACGGCGCTTGACAGACCCTCCCAGACAAAGGGCCGGCAGAAGGGGGGGGGGCACGAACCCGGGACAGGCCAGCAGCCTGGGCACCATGGCCAGGCTGCCGGGAGGCTGATGTGTGCAGCAGGCCGGCCCCGCGCTTCCTCAGGAGGGTCTCCCCGCAGTCCCAGGCTCGGGGCCCTAACCCTTCCCTCCGGGGGGCCAGGCCAGGGGTCGGGGTCTGGGGATGCCCGCTTGGCTGGGCCGCACAGACCCCGAGGTAGAATTTTGTCTCCGCCCTGACTGCCTGCGCTGAGCTTGGCCTGGAGGAGTTGGATCCTGGACCGGCGACCAGGCAAGTCCGTCTCAGCAGAAAACACCACAGCCCTCACCGGGGGGCGCCCGGGACATCCTGCGCCCACGGTGCAGCTCCCCACAAATCCATGGGGAGCTAGGCCCCAGTGAAGAGTGGCTGTCGTCCTGCAGCCAGGCAAGCCAATAGTAATAAAAATAATAAATAGTATATCATCTCCTCCAAGGGGGAGGGCCAGGGCATCAGGCCTACCATGCTTGATTGAGTCTCATCATTAGGAACTACTTTAATGAGTATTATTACACTCCAGGTAATTTCAAGAAAGAGCGGCCTTTTCGTTTCTACGGGCCAGCAAAGTAAGTGTAATGAGATACTTGAGGTGATCAATCAAAACATGAATTGTCCATGCAGCAGCGAGGCACGCGCACTGCACCCCCACCAACTGGAGCGGCAGCCCAACGCTGCGTTCCTGTGTTCAGAGCACCACCAGCTCGCTGACTTTGAGGCCAAGAGACGCCCTTGACAGGGCCTGGCCTGAGGAGCAGGAGCGGGAGGAGGCCCGGCTTGGAGGCCGGGCGCAGACGTGGCCGTCGGCTCTGGGAGCTGCCCGAGGCTCTTTGTCCCCAGTCATCCTTAGCCTCAGCAGGCTGTTGTTTTCGGTGGAAGCGGGACTCTCTCTCGGGGCGCTCGAGGAGCTGTAGAGATGGAAGGTCGGATATTAAACCAGCGGGAGATAAAATGACTTTTTGCAGAGCCCCGGCCGCCTCTCACCTGTGCAAGCACTCGCGTGCACTGTTCGAAGCAGACCCGCACACCTGCGCCAACCTGTCACCACCTGCGTCCATCCATCCCACGCAGCACTGGCGGCTCTCCCGGCCGGCACGCAGGGTCCCGCCGCGGCTCCTTTCTTCCTCCCCAGGCGCACATCCACGTCCGTCGACCCCGTCCCGACCAGATCAGCCGAGTGGAGTCAGGGCTTTGCTAAGCCCCTCAGCGCCAGCCGACACCCTCCACCGAGGCCCATCCTCCAGGGGTTTGCCTAGTTTGAGGACCGTGAACTCGGCCGGTCCTGGCTTGGAGGCCCAGGGAAGTAACAAGGACTTTCTTTAGAAAGGAAGCCTCGCGCACTGCTCCACAAACCCGCTGCCAGCGGGCAACCCTAACGCCAGGCCACCTTCCGACCCAGAGCCAAGGCCCCCAGCACCACAGGCCTGGCAGAACAGGACCTGCCAGACCTCCCACCTACCCAGGGCTCCGGTGACACTCTGTTGAAGTTGAAAAGGCCACAGAACTAGAAGCAAGACTGTTCCCTGGCCTTTCAAGAATCGGAGGACTCTTCCATTGGGCTCACCACGAGAAACAAAAAAGAAAGCCGGGCGCCACCCCGGTCTGCCTGGCATCTGATGAGCGGCCTCTGGGGACAGAGCTCTCCCTCACGGAGCTGCTCTCCCCCTCTCACGAGTTAACATTTGAAAACAAATATTTTGAAAAGATGGCTTGATATCATATCTTTTTATTAAAACAAACGGGAAGCTGTCAAATAGCAGATGTTCAGCTACTGTTTTGCTTATGTATCCGTTGATTCTTACTCCCTGGCGTGCTGCTTGGCCGGGAGCCTCCAGTGGGCCCAGCTCACTCCCATTCCCTCTTGGCAAGTCTCAGGACCCACAGCTCTGGCCTGCAGGCCACTTCCAGGCCTTTGGGCTGAGCCAGCCAGCCCAGCATCTGCCCGCCTGGAAGCGGGAAGCGGGATGGCCCAGGGAAGCGAAAACGCCCAGGTCACCCCTGGCAACAGAGGAGCCTCGATTGTATCTGACTTTCTTTTCACTGGGAGGAAATTTTTTTTTTCTTTTTAATCAAGAAAGTTCAGAAATAGAGCCAGCCGTGGGGCACACGAGCCCCCAGATCGCAAAGAAACTCAAGCCACTGAGCACGGCCTTGGGGCTGCAACTCCTGCAAGAATTCCTGCGTTTCATGGAGTAAAAACAACAAAAAGATGTAAACCCAAGTGGCTGTTCAAGGAGAGTGAAAGTTCCTACGGAGAACTTCCCACAGAACACACAAGCAAGTGGAGTGGGTGGGAGGAAGTGGGGTGGGGGTGGGAGGAAGCGGGCTGAGGGTGGGGGTGGGGGTGGGGAGGAGAGCACCTGTTGTGTGTTACGTCAATGGAAGAATTTCTTAATGAGATAGCAGCTATTTTTCCAACTATTCCTCCTGGACAAAATGTGGGTATAGGAAGTAGAGCTGTGCTCAAAGCGGTGGAGTATTAGCTTTGAGAAAAAGAGCTCAGGAACAGTGACCAGGCACTGAGTTCAAGCCCCATGATGGACAAAAAACAAAAAACAAAAAAAAACCCAAAACTGGATATAAATTATTTTGGTTTTCTGTGTTTCCATGCAACTTATTAAAAATCGTCAGTCTTTACAAAAAGGACAACAACAAAGCAGGCCCTGAACCTACTCGGAGATTGCCAGAGTCTCTGGCACTTGAACCTGGGGGTGAGGGGGATGGGAGTGTTAGAAGTTCCTGAACTCAGAACCGGGAAAGGGAGTCATTTCACCCAGGACTGCCAACATCTTATAATAAAGAGGTGTTTCTTTTTATTTCATGTAACTTTCAAGAATTTAAACACACAAAAATGCAGGGCTGGGAACGTTCACAATTTTGATAAGCACAGTTGTAAATAGAAACATTCATTCATTTCTTATAAGATTATAAATATTTGATACTGGAAGTGGTAAAATGCACGTTTTATAAACTAAAAATATTACTTCCTGCTAAAAAGGCATGTCACTTCATGGAGTTTCTGAAGCAGCAGATGGTTATGCACAGAATTTTAAATTACAACTTTCATCTTTATAGTTTCCTTTTCAAAAAGGTTCACACTATTATGTACAAAGTGAAACTATTATTGTAGTGAAATAAAAGAGGTTTAAGGCAAAGAGAGAAGTCTACCCTCAGTCCTGGGGGGCGGCTGACTCAGCCTGAGCAGCCCGGCCCTACCAGCTGGACATATGGACATCCTTTTCCCATACACTAAACAGAAGACAGTGTGGGGTTATATAGAGAGATAAAGTGTTGGCATATATATATATATATGTTCTTGGTGGGGAATATATTGAATATATTTAATTTACACTGTACCACACCTTCAAAAAATAAAATGTGTATTTTCTTAAAAAAACAAGAAAGGACAAAAAGTGATAAGAAAGAAATGACTATTTACATACTTTCTTCCTTTCTCTAGATCCTGTAGGGTTCTGAGTCCTTTGAAAGTCAAAGTGGCCACAGGTTCTAGAATTTCAGCCTCATACAGGCCTGGTATGTGTCAGTGCACATGCATACGCACGTGTGTGCACACATGTATACACACAGACGCGTATGTATCTTGGAAGAGTATTTTCAACATCAAAAATGGCCATTCCAAAAAAAAAAAAAAAAAAAAGGAAAAGGAAAAGAAAAAAGGGAAAGGGGGAAGAAAAGGAAGACAACGCCAATCCCTCTTCAGCTCTCAGCAAGGACCTGGCGGGGCTTCTGGCGGCTGACACGGTACAGTAGAGCTGTAGAGCCGGCCGGGGGAGGGAGGGCTGCCCCAGCGGTGGGGCGTGCAGGCCATATGCCAGGGTCCTGAAACTCCAAGCTCCACTGCCCAGGCCAGGCCTGAGGTGGGAGAGTGGGTGTTGACAAATCACCCTGGCAGGGACAGAGACACAGGTACAGACAGAAGTGTGGGAATAGTCACAGAGGCAAGGGCAGTGCCGCCAGGAGGCAGTGGACAGAGACAGTAGTAGGTCAGCTAGGAGGGACCTGGAGAGGCTGCGGGCCTGGGCCAGGTGTCACTCAGAGGTCACTTCTCAAGGCCATTCCCCAGACTCACTCAAGGACCTGGGAGTCCTCTTTCCCAGCCAGGTCTTTTGGCAAGGCCAGGAAGACCTGGGGGTTGTGGCCCAGGCTTGGCCAGCCTCCTGCTGTCCTCACCAAGTGAACACAAACAAAGTGGTAGAACTCAGACCAAATAGGAGCTATTTATCGGGTTCACAGTTGTGTGAAATGCAGCAATAAAAATCTTTGGACTTTAGCAAGTTGGGTTTTTAAATTTTTCTTCTTCTGTTGAAATAATAATGATTTAAAAAAGTGTCTGATGTCCCAGAAGGGAGCTCAGGGGATTAAAAAAAGATGAAACCCTAAGAAGCCCCCTTTGCAAAAACAAACAAAAACCCATAAAATTAGCATAATCTGTAAACGCAAAAAAAACTTTAGAAATATTTTATAGTCAGACAGTTTGGATTTTACACCACCTGTAAATTATATATACATAGACTATTGCAGAACCACACGATACTTTTACGAATAATGCTGGTATAATCTTTATACACTGGCCCTTTAGTTAATGTTTTAAATTATTGCATTGTTTGCTCGGACTGAGACCTGGCCTCTGCGCGCTCGCGCAGCCCTCCCGCCGCCGCCACCGCCGCCGCCCTACTCGCTGTCCGACTTGCCCTCCTTGGCGGTGGTGGAGTGGTTGTACAGACCCTGCGCCATGAGGTGCACGGCCAGCGTGTTCTTGTTGCCCGTGGCCTTCTTGATCTTGGCGCGCTTGTTCTGGAACCAGATCTTGATCTGCGACTCGTTGAGGCTGAGCTCCTGCGCCAGGCTCTGCCGCCGCTGCTCCGTCAGGTAGCGGTTGGTCTGGAACTCTGCCTTGAGCCTCTGAAGCTGCTCCGCCGTGAAGGCCGTGCGAGGCCGCTTGTCCTCTTTGTTGAGGTTCTTCTTCTTTGGTTTGCGAGACCTGGGGCCTGGGTGAGGCAGAGGCAGAAATTCGGGAGGTTAGGTTCCCCTGGGGCCTGCCAGCCTCCGGGCGCTTGGAGGGGACCCACCCGATGGAGGGGGGCATCCACAGAGATTCCCAGAGGGCAGGTGACTTGCACAGGGCCACACCAGGATGGACAGCTAAGAGCTGCACTTGGCCCTGAGCATGGGGGGGGGGGGGGAGGCAAGACGGGGCGGGGGGAGGGAGAGGGTCAGGATCACTGGAAAGGCACATCACAAACCAGGGCCTCCAGATAAAAGCCCAAATCAAAACTTTCTGCCCTCTTACCCCACCCCCACCCCCATACCACACACACTGGCTCAGCCCTTTCAGAGGCCCAGTCTGAAAACAAGGGAAGGAAGAAGTGAGTCAGACTGGGTTGCGGGGATGGGGATGGGTAGAGAGGGTAGAGGGTGCTGGAGCAAAGGGCCAAGGCAGCCCCTCATAACTACCCCCCCCCCCACCCAAGTTCATTGTTTCCTGAAGGACAGGAGGAAGCCTGTGCCCTTTCCCGGGCTTAGGGGAGACAGAGCTGCGGGCAGCTCCCCTTCATCCACTGCCCATCTCCCCAGCCCCTCCCCTAAGAGAGGGCCCCCCCCACATGGGTGCTGATCCTGGCCTGCAGTCCCGCTGACCTGGGGCTGCTACACAAACCCTGCCACATTGCTTGGCCACAAATGTTTCCTACCTCTGACCCCACCCTCTACTCCTGTTGGGGCTGCGGGGGCAGAGGCCGGAGTGGCACTGGGTGTTGGGTCTGAAGATGGAGTCTTTCAGGGGCGTAGAGAAGGAGGTGGTGGACATGCAGAAGCTCAGCCCCTGGAGGTTCTCCAGATCTAGGGAAAGGCTTGCAAGACCACAGGCCCGGAGTTGGGACCTTTGATCTGGATCTTTTCACCTGTGAGGTGCTTCAGTCAAGTGGGGGGTACCATGCTGGAGGTGCCAATGGAAAGGGCTGGAGAGGAGCGGACCTCCCTCCTTCCCGGCCAGGGAGCTACAGCAGGGGCCATCCCCACCCGACCATGACCATGTCCACTGCCTGGCAGACAAGGCACAGGGACTGGGGTGAAGGGTCTGCGCCCACAAGAGGCTCAGGATGGGTACAGAAAACTCCCCACCCCCAACAGGGCTGGCCACGGTCAGCAGCAGCCAGGCTGGGAAGAGGGCCCACGGGTGGGGAAGGGGCACGTGGAGAGGTACAGGCTGTGCCCCTAACCCCACACACGGTCCTGACCCACTCCAAGGGTCACGGCCGGGGTTTGGCACTCCTGGGTTTGATGTTGAGTGGCTTGGGACACCGGTCCAAAGAAGGGAGGGCTCCTGGAAGGGACTAGCAGAGGCCGTGGGCCGGGTGGAGAAGCTCGGGCAGCCCTGGGCCTTCTCTGACCTGACCTCCACCTCTCTCTGGAGCATTCTCCAACTCCACTCCCCTCCGGAAGCTCCCACTGCAGGCCCGGGATGCTTGTTGTAGCATACATGAACAAGCCTCAAAAACACACAGCCGGAGAGATCGAATATGTGCTTAACACCGCAGATGTTAGTTCCCCTCTTGGTAGATTTTTCTTTCAAAAAGCAATGGGGATCGAATCTGCTCCCGGGCCCCCTCCATCTCCTTTCTGAGGTGCTCAGGAAAGGACTAGAAAGGTCCGCTCTACCGGGGGAAGAGGCACGTTTTAGCCCAGGATGGCCGCGCCGCGGCTGGGGCCGCCCGGGTTTGGCGCGGCCGGGCCGCGCGGCTCCGCACAAAGCCGGCCCCGGCAGCGCCCCGGAGCTTTGTGGGCCTATATGTTAATTAAATATTAACAAAGGAGGGAGGCCGGAACAATGGAGCAAATTTCAGGTCTGGCGGAAGAAATTTGGGGGTCATCAGAAATACGCGCTACTGAAGGAAGGCTGCCCGGGGACACTCGGGGGTCGTGGGCGAGCGATCCACCCCGCGGGGCCGTCGCGGGCCGGGGAGAAGAGGGCGCCGCGGCCGGACCTCGGGACGCACCGAGCGCTCCTAATGGCGGTCCGGCCGCGGCCCGCGTCGAGTGCACGGGACGGGGGGGGGGGGGGGGTTTGAACACGCCCCGAAGCGCGGGGTGCCCCGCGAAGGCGGCCTCGTTTCCACTCCAACAGGGCCAGGACACCCTTGGGGTCCCCGCTACTGGAGGGGAATCCGGGTGCCGGGACGGCGGGGCCTTTCCCAGCGCTGTGAGGCCCCCCGAGGGCGCCGGGGCACGGAGCGGGGCGCGGTGACAAAGGGGACCGGGCGCCTCCGCTTCCACCGCTTCCCCGCACGCCCCCCCCCAGCGCCCTCCCCGCGCCCGGCCCGAGCGAGGGGCGCGCGGCGCGCAGCTCCCCGCCGGCTCGGGGGTACAGCGCGTGCGCGCGCGAGGGCCGGGTGCGGGGGGCATCCCCGGCGGGACAGAGGCGGCTGCGGGAGGAGCTCATCCTCGCACCCTTCCGGGCCTCCGGCAGACAGCCCCGCTTCCCCGAAGAAACTACAGCGGAGGTCTGGGGGCAGCAAGGCGGTGTCCCCCGAAGGAGCCAGAGACAGGGGGACACGGAGCGCCCGGAGGCCTTTCTCTACGGGCCGTCCCCGCGCTCCCCGCGGCGCCGGGGCGGTCTTTGTGCGGGGACGAAGCACGTCCTCCGCCCGCGCTCCCCGCGCTCCCCGCGGTGCCGACTTACCTGACGAGGGTCGATCGGAGTAGCGCGTGCAGTAGACCCAGGCCGGCCAGAGCATCGGCTGCGCGCCCAGCGTGGCGCCGGCCTGCGAGCTGTCCGAGTCCGAGCTCACCGACAAGTCGCCGCCGCCGCCCAAGCTCCGGGCCTTCAGAGCCCCGTCCGGGGGACCCCCGGGGTCGCCGCCCCTCTTGGCGCCGCCGTGCAGCGCGAGCGTCTGGGAGGCGCCTTCCCCGTGCCCCGGGGAGTCGCGGCCGCCCGCGGGGAGGGCCCCGCCCGCCCCGGGCGCGCACGGCGGGATGTGCCGGGGCTCGCGGGCGCTCGAGCCGGGGAGGTGCTCGCCGCCGCCGCCCTCCGCGCCGCCGGTGCCGCCTTCGCCGCCGCCTCTGCCGCCGCCCGCGCCCGCGCCCGCGCCGCTCGTCCCCGGGTCCTTTCGCCGGCCGAACTCGGGCCGCAGGATGTTGTCGATGAAGAAGTTGGTGATGCGGTGCGGATGCGGGTGGTTGCCCGGCGCCTGCAGGGCCGCGGGCAGGATCGGAGCTCGGCGGCGGCCGGTATCCGAGTCGCCGCCGCTCGAGCCGCCGCCGGGGCTGGATTCGGGCTGCCGCTGCCCCGCCACCGCCGCCTCGCCGGGCTTGGGCTCACTCTCCTCCATGCTTCAGGGCCGGTCCCCGGTCGCCGCTCCGGGCCGCCCGCGGCGCACGCGGGACCCCCGCGCGCCCGCCCCGCCGGGTCTCCCGAGGGCGCGCGGCGGCGGCCGCGGCCAGGGCTGCGGGTCCCGCCAGTCGCCGGCCGCGGTCGGGACGCAGCCACGTTCGGATCCACGAGCCGGGCTGGGGAACACCCGCAGTCGCCCGCTCGCCAGGACGCGGTCGAGTCCAGAGGCTGAGCCGCGGTTCCGCGCGGTCACAATGGTCCCGGGGCGCCCCCCGGCCTCCGCGCTCCGCGCCGCGTCCCGCCGGCTCCGGCCCCGGCGCCGCCGCCTCGGCCGCCCTGGCCGGGAGCTGCGCTCATGCGGGCGGCGCTCGCCCGCGCTCACGCCCGCCGGGGCCTCCGCGGGCCGCCGCCGCCGCCGCCCGGCCGCCCCCGCCCGCGCGTCCCGGCCGGTCCTCGAGGGTGCGGGGCGCGAGCGCTCAGCGCGCCCGCCGCCGCCCGCACGCACATGGAGGCCCGCGGGCCCGAGCTGCGCTCCGCCGGCCTCGGGGCCCCCTCGGCACGGCCGCCGACCCGCCGCGGGCCGGGGCGCCCCCGCCGAGCCCCGCCGAGCCCCGCGGCCCGGGGCGCATGGGTGGCGGCCGGGAGGCGCGGCCGGCGCGGGCCGGAGCGGGCCGGGCCTCCCGCGCTCCCTCGCGGTCCGCGCGCCCTCGCCGCTCGGCCTCCGCGCGGGCTCGGGAAATTTCCAGGCCACTTGGCGCAACCTGAGACACTTTGACTCTGGATTTTTGTTCTTATTTTTAACCGAGCCCCCTCGAGTGACGTCGCGGGCCGGTCTCCGGGACACGTGCCTCGGGCCAATGGCCGCCGCGCCGCGCGCCCACGTGACCGGCCGGCGGCGGCCCCGCGACGGGAGCGGCCCGCCGCCCCCGCCCCCGCCCCGCCGCCCCGCCCCCCCTTAAAGGGGCCGGGCCCTCGCGTCGCCGGGCGCGGGAGCCGGCCGCCCGGCGAGGCCCGTGACCGCGTCCGCGGCGCCCGCTCGCGGGTTCCTCGCCTCTCCCGGGAGCCCTGGGCGGCCCGGCCGGGTCTGCCCGGCGCGCCTCCGAGGACACGCGCCGCGAGATCGCCGTTTTTAACATTTCCACGCTGTTTATCGCGGGGACGAATCCCACAATTCCTTGCACAAAAATGCATAAACAGTGTTAAATGAGAGGCCGAGATACAAAGGGACTCTGTGGTCCCCGGCCGTCGCTGCCGGGGAGGAACGCTGTCACTTACATTTGACTTTGGTCGCCCCGGCGGCATCCTGTGATAACCGCGGGGCGCAGCGGGCAGGGCTCCCTGCTGCCGGCACCCGCTGTGAGCGCGAGTGCGTGTGCGTGTGCGTGGGCAGGAGGTGCGTGCAACACCCTCGGCGTCCCCCTCCCGTCCCTGCCGGGGCTTCCTCAGAAAACAGCCATGAAGCTCCGGAACAGCGGGAGAATACAAATTGGGGCATTTTTGCAGAAGGACGCGAAGGAGCCTGGAGGGGCTGGTTGCTGTTTCCTCTGTCTTGGAGGGGGAGGGAGCGCTGACGTTCAGACGAACCTTCGAAACCACCCGGATGCCCAGTGCTGCGCAGGGCCGGCCGCAGCCCCCACAAATCTGGTGCAGACATCCCAGGCCCCCCCTTACACTCTCCCCAAACTGAGGACCAGGCGGGTCACCTCATTTTCTTTGTTTGAAGGCCCTTTAGTTTCCCAGGAAATCAGGGCCAGTTTGAAAGAGGAAAAGATTGGGTGTGGGTGTGTGTGTGGGGGGGGTATGGTTCCCTCTCCTTTCTTTCCTTTGCCTCCCTCAAAACACTCCTCCAGGGCGCAGGGCCAGGCCCTCCTTCCCCTTTCCTCCCTGTCTGCCCTGGTCTCACCACCCAACCCCCTTGTGACCCCCAGACTTGTCTGTCCACCGTCTAAAATGCATTTTTATGGCACTTTTCACAAACTTGGAGGAAAACCCAAATGGGCATTTCTGAGGGTATAGGAGTGCGGGCACAGAGTCAGAATCCTGGGGGGGACTGGGGAGGGCAGAGGGAGGCCGGCTTGGCGAGGCCAGGGGCAGTAGGTAGGAGCCTGCTGCGAGGCCCACGTGGAGGTGTCAGCGGGGAGGTGGATGCTGGCGTCCAAGACCACGGCTAGGGACGAGCAAGAACCAAGGTCTCCTCACGTCGGAGAGGCCTGCCAGGCCGTGGTGAGCCTTGCGAGCTGTGTCCCGGCCTGACCCGGGCGCCTCGGGTCCTCTGGCCCCAGAGCCTGTCCCAGCCGCGGGGTGGGTGGAGAACGGAGGAGCTGCGGCCTGCTCGCCAGGCCTTCCTCCCAGGTTTGTTCTACGACTGGTCCCCGTCCCCACCAGGGGGACAGCTGGGTGGGAGGAGGTCCGACCGGGGACCGGGGCCGTGCAGATGGCCCAGGGTGGGGCTGGGCTGGGGGAGGCACGGGCTCTCCGGGCGAGGGCGCGCGGGAGTGGACCTCACCGGGGCCGGCCCAGGCCTCTCCGCCCCGCGCTTTGCCCTACCGGAAAGTCCTCGCTAAGTTTTCTTGAGCAGGCCCACGCCGGGCCTCCTTTCTTTGGTCTCAAACACAAAAAGAAAGGAGGGAAAAGAAAAGAAAAGTGAAGAAGCCTCTGCTCCGTCCCTCTCCACCAGATCTCAGCTGTTTTCTGCAGCCGGGAGGCCGGTGGTCTCGTCTGGGGTGGGGGCTCCCTGCCCGGCCGCCCCCGGACCAGCCCTCCCCAGTTTCCTGGGGGCCTTTGCCTCCGAGCGCCGGGGCCCGGGCTGCCCAGGCGCGAGGCCCCAGACAAAGCCGACGCGCCTCCCGGCCGCCCGGGCCTGCGGCGGGCCGCGCACCGCGGAGCCCGAACCCCGGGCGCCCGGCTCGGGGAGAGCACGGTTCGAGGAGCTCCCGGAGAGCGAGACTGTCCCGGCGGGCACCGGGGGGCGCGAGGCCAGAAAGAGGTCGTTCCACTGCCCCCGGGGCGGCGGCGGCCCAGGCCGGAGCTCGGCCAACGGTTTCCAGAAGCTTCGAGTGCGTCCTTGAGGCCCGACCCCCAGCTAGAGGCCGGGCTGGGCGCGACCCGCGCTGCCCGGCGCGCGCGCGCGGACGCCGCGCCCCTTCCAACCCTGCGCTCGGCCGGGGCCGCGGAGCCAGGCCGCCGCTGGGCCCGCGCCCCGCGGAGCCGGCCGCGCCCGCGCCCCGCTGCGTGTCCCCTCGACGCCCGGGGAGGACCGGGCCTCGGAGCCTCGAGTCCCCGCGTACACGGAACGCGCCTCCAACTCGGAGGCGAGCCGCGCCCGCGGGGCCCCGCAGGGCACAAAGGCGCCGCGGCGGGCGCGGCTGCGGACCGGACCCGGCGCCGACCGGGACGCTGCGCCCGCGGCTCGTCCTCGCCGCGGAGCCGGGGCCGGGCGGCCCCCGGGCCCGTCCGCGGCCGGCGCTCGTCCCTCGCTTTTTGAGGGGACACCGCGAGAGAACCGGAGCGGTGGGCTCGGCCTTCGCTCGGGGCTCGCGCTGCGCAGACGCCGGGCGGACGCGGTGCGCCCCGGGCCGGAGCCCAGACCCGCTCGCCGGGCCCCGGCGGGTAATTGGGGCCGAGCTCGAGGACCGCCGCCGGCCCGGCTCCGGCCACGGACAAAGGCCAACGCGAAGAGGCGCGTGAGGAGGGGACGTGGGACGCGCGCGCGGGCGCGTGGCCTCGCCGGCCTGCGAACGGAGGACAGGCCTGTAGACCGCGAGCCTACGTGAGCTGGGGTCAGGAATAACTGGGGAGTAGCCCGGGAAGGAAGAGGTTAACCGCCACAGCACCCTCCGGGGCAGGCCAGACCCTGGTTTCTCCCCCTGCCCCTGGCCACCTCCAGGGGTTCGAGGGGCCTCGGTAGAACCAGCCCTGAAGCTTGATGCCCGCGACTGGGCCTCAGGAGTGGTCAGCTCTGCCAGGACTGCTGTGCTCACAATGGAGCGGAGAACCCTCCCCCCCCCCCATGGAGACACCCCTGCCCTGGCCACAGGGCAAGCTGGTCTACTCCATGCTGGACCCAGACCTTGCCCAGAAAAGCCAGGGGATACCAGGGCAGATGCGCAGGCAGGAGAGGAAGATGGTTTCTCCAGAAGCTTCCCTCTTGCCAGGGAAGAACTCCCAGCCCACCCGCCCCACCCCCCAGCTAAGTCCAGGCGGAGGGGGAGGAGGAGGGCCCCCCCCAGCCCCTCCAGGGCCTGGACTCCCCAGAATTGCCTGCCTTGATGCCCCTTTCCTGGCTGCCCACTCTGAGGCCTTCTCACCCGATTTTACCTGGACCTTAGGGCCTGCCAGGTCCGCTTCTTTGGAGGTGGACATCATGGCATCATCACCAGACACACCTGCACCCTGGCACTATTGTTGGGGTCGAACTGAATCGTCCTTGGGGTCATTGTGGAAAGCATGGACTGTTGCCGCTACCGAAAGAAAGTGGTGCATCCCAAAGAATCTACACTGAGTAAAGCAAACTGAGTCTGCACAGGGGTTGGAGGCATTCCACTAAGGCTGTGGATGGCTAAGCACCCCTACTCCCAAAGAGAACGATGAGAAAGGGGGTAGAGAGCTGGGGGGCTGGCATCACACTTACTATTGCTCATGGGGTGGGGAGGAGAATCCTTGTGTATGCCCACTGCCTCCTGCTGACCTTTGGAAAGAAAATGCAGTTTTCTCCTCTTTGTATCCCTAAGGGCAGCAGGCATCCCGGAGAGACAAGAGTGGAGAATCTCACATAGGCTGCCTTCTGCATTTTTGGAAGTATGATCTGAGTGGATAGATCCAGAATTTTAGGCGGGTTTGGGTTTAACACAAGGCATTTGCATATACCCAGCCAAACTAGCTACATAGAATAGGGTAAAAACCTCTTAGGAGTTTAACAGGTGTTCTACTTCCGGTATCAACAGCCCCAAACAACTTTCACCAAGAGGGAAGTCTATGTATAGTTATAGTCGTTAACAG